CCTGGAGTGCGGCGGAACCACCGTTCCCAGCAGCCAAGGCGGCTTTCGCGCCTGCGTCGTTCGCCACCACCCTCCCTTTGTGTCGCCTCCCGATGCTCGGTTTGGAACGGGCTGGAGACAAAGGGGCCCGGCGGCAAGGTCTGTGGAGGGCCGTTCGCATGCGAAGGGCGGGCCGTCGGGAGACGCTTCCCCTCGCTCCCGACTCCTCCGTCGGACGACTGGAGCGCGCTTTCCACCCCGGCAGGCACCAGGCGGGGCCCCTCGGCCCGCCCCTCCCTCCCGGGCAGCCGAGGTAGGGCTTTCTGGCGAGCCGGAGCGGAGCGCGCCGTTGCCGTGACAACCGCCGCGCCGGCCCGCCCCCTTCCTGCTCAGGCCACGCCCCTGGGGCCGCCCAGCGGCGGAGCGCCAGCCTTTGTCCCGTGCGAGCTCCGGGGCGGCTCCGCCCCGACGGCCCTGCCGCCCCTGCCGGCCCCGCCGGTTCCCAGCGAGTCCCTCCGGGTCCCTCCGCTCCCGGAAGTGCTGCCCGGCTCCGGGCTGCAGGTCCCCGGCGTCCCCTGTCCCGTCTCCGCGTCTGGCGATCGGAGGGCCGGGCGGGGCTCCAAAGGCCCCCCCACACCTTCGGGCCGCCGTGGGGACCGGATCGGGTTTCAGTCCGGGTCTCCTGGATGTGTTGTGCTGCAAACCGGCGAGCACCGCTGCGACCGAGGTCGTGTCCGTCCCCGGTGACGGGCCGAGCGGCCCGTGAGGCCCCGTGGCCTTTGGAAGCCGCGTGGAAGTGTTTGAAGTCGTGTGTGCGATCCGCCGACAGCCCGGATTAACCCTTACAGTGCCTGCAAAACAGCATGGCCGAGGGACCCGCGAGTCCCTGCCGGCACCCGGGCTTCTTCCGTCCTAGAGTTGGGTGGCTCGCTGGGGACCTCTCGGCGCTGACGGAGCCGCACCGGGGAGCCCGGGGGGTGGGGCAGCGACGGGCCCGGGAGTGGCAGCACTGACGAGCCGACGGGGGGGGGGGCGTGAGGGGTGTATACCGGAGCCGGCACCGGCGGCCCAATGGAGAACCGAGGAGTGGAGTCTGGTTGCATTTCTACAACCGCAGGCCTTGGCCTCCACTCTACACACCACAAAGCTGAGACCCCATGACGTTATGTGGAAAGAGAAGCCTGTGACGTGGAACTCGGGGAGGACTCACGACCCTGGATAAGAAACCTGCCCTCCCCACCGAGAGCCTGGAAGTCACTTAATCATCTAACTGCAAGGAGGGAACGGGCCCTTCTGATCGGTTAGGCAGAGCATGAGCAGTGTTCATCTGGGCTAAGAAACCAAGGTTAAAAGTAACTTACTTCCGAACACATATGGCATCCGACTGGGTCACCAAGACCACCTACACACCGACTTCATCGCGGTCCTGTGGGTTCCTGGCCTCCACTCTGTACAGACACAAACCACACAACTAGGGGTCCCTCCTGCCAGCCGCAGTGTTCTGCATGCTGGAAGTATGGTGAATTTACCTACAAGAAACAGCTAATTTGCCCTTTGGGGATAAAACGTCAGAGAACGTAGTTTTTGATTGCCTTCACAAGGTGGTTTTCTATATAAGATTAGAAGACAGATAAAACCATAATCGTGCATTTTACACATGCCATTAGGAAAAGGTGCTTAATGTTGAAGATACATCGAAGAATTTCATGTGTTGTAGATTTGCTTTTTGTAGAGTAGTGATTTGCAAAATAGATGTTAAAACTTTTTTTTTTTTCCTAAAATGGTTTGGGCTGGGGTGTTGCTCCGTGAGAGATCACCTGCCTGGTGGGCACAAGTATCTAGGCTTGTTTCCCAAACACTGCCATGAACAAGTAGAATAATCTGACATTGAAGATGCTCAAACCTATTGAAGATGAATAGATTCATCTTCATTTTGAATCCAGGTGACCACGGTACTCCCATCTGTAATCCTAGCTACTCAAGAGTCAGAACTGAGGATCAGTTTGAAGCCAGCCAGATTTTTACCTCTCAATCACCAGAAAACTGCAGAGGAGCTGTGGCTCAAGTGTAGAGCTCTAGCTTTGAGCAAAAAAGCTTAGGGACAGCACCCACTCCTAAATTCTAGCCCCAGGACAGGCACACACACACACACACACACACACACACACACACACAAAAAAGATCCTGGAACCACATTTTGTATTCACTAGTGCCTAGGAAAGTATAATCATCATAGTTTGCAATAATTTTAATTCACTTTCTTGTCCTGACTTAGATTGGGAAGAGGTGATTCAAGGACAGAATTTCCACCTCTACATTTCTATATCCACAGTGGGAGTTACCTTCTAGAAACCCCCACAATAGGTGAAAATCACAAAGTAGCAGTGTTATATAGTTGTCTCTTGCTGTACTGCACTTTGTGGATTTTCACCTATGGTGGGGGTCTTTGGGACATAGCTTCCACGATAGGTGAGGGATCACTGTTTAGTAATTGAAGCCACAATAAGTGAACGGAAATAGAGTGATGGATGACTATATCAATATAGGTATAGATTGATAAATGCAAAATTTTCCAGTCATTTTACCTTAGGATTATGCAAATATTCAGTGTTGCATTTTATTTTATCACACATGATTATAGTTTTATTATTAAATATTGGTTATTCTTTTGATGATTTCCAAAAACCTTAAGAATGGATTTGCCACTTGTCAAGGGGGGAACACATTACAAAACTAATTTTCTGAACATAGAAGATCCCTTTGTTGATTTAAGACATCCTGGGCCTGTCCAAATGTGCCATATATCTACATTCATGTGGGGATTTGGTTTCAGTGTTATTAAATCTCGGTTTAGAAACTCTACTCTGGATCCTTCCTTGAGCTCTGAGTGTCCCACCTTGTTTTGGATATGAAGTAGACTTTGTGAGACGTCTCAGCAGTGTTCAACAACCATTTCCAAACTTAATGAAAGGTATCTTCAGGAATTCAAAAGAATTTATCAAGGCCTGGTGTTACTGGCTCATGCCTGTAATCCTATCTACTCAGTGTTAGGTTTTAAAGGGGTGACCGAATAAGAACAACACCACACACGTGGTATTCAGGTAAGGGGTAGGTTTATTCATTGTTCTGGCTGGCACCAGGCCATGTTAGCACTTCAACATGGGAAAGGGGGCCGCTGGCCCTGAGCTAGGCCTTATCTAGGGTAGGGGCGGGGAGAGGTGTAGCCACACCAAATCCAGATGTGACCTCAGCAGATGCAGAGGTGACCTCTTCCAGGTGTGCCAGTTGCCTAGGTAATACAGGTACTGAGTGGAGTCTTTGCTGGGAGAAGGATAGAGTCTGCTTACCATGCAGAAACAGACCTTACACTCAGGAAGTTGAGATCTGAGAATCATGGTTCAAAGCCAGGCTGAGCTGGCTGTGAGATTCTTATCTCCACTAAGCCACCAGAAAACCAAAGTTGCACTGTGGCTCAAGTAGTAGAGCGCTAGCCTTAAGCTGAAGAGCAGAAGGACAACGCCCAGGCCCAGAGTTCAAGCTCCACAACCAAAAAAAAAAAAAAGAATTTACCAAGGGAAGGAAATAGACTACAGTAAATATAAAAGACCACTGCAAAAACTGGACGTGGAGCTGTGGCTCAAAGTGGCAGAGTACAATCCTTGAGAAAACAAAACAAAATAGCCAGTGCTCAGTGGCTGGGCTCTGCGTTCAGACCCCAGGACTGTCCTGTGTCAATGTCTCTCTCTCTCTCTCTCTCTCTCTCTCACACACACACACACACACACACACGCCACTTAGCAATTACCATCAAGCACAGAATAGCACTGGAGGGGAAACAGGAGGTCCTGCTGGAGGATTTAAGGGAGCTAGGAGGTATGGGTAGGTACTAGACAGGGGTCGTCTGTGGAGGAACAACAGGTTCAGTGCTGTGGCCTTGTACATTAGAACATAGTTTAACAGAACCGCAGAACTAGAATCCAAAACCTTCAGAAAAAAAGTACTCTAGGAACATGCTTGTTTATCTTAATCATTTGCCTTTCAAGAGAACAACTAAAAAAGGAACCTCAGAACCTCTGTGATGTTTTGGACTGCAAAAGCAAAGGGTGGTGTTTTTTTTTTTTTTTCAAGAAGGCGGGAGGGGGGCGAATTTGTGGAGCTCATTTGGAAACAACTCATCATGTTTTAGTCCTCGAGATGGATGATGGTTTAATCTTCGTTTTCTGCCACACGCACTTGATGAAATGATGAATGACCCGTCTCCTCCGGTTGGTCTTCCATCTGGAGGACTCCCCCCCCCCCAGGGTACCGGTGCTTAGTGCTCAGTTAGGCAGACCTGCTGCGTGTGCAACACGTGCATATTAAGATTTACACGTGCTGTGCATCTGGGCACGCACACGATTGCAACGCAGACATGCTTAGTGCATGTTGTGCAAACCTGACATTCTGGGGTGCAGGCATTCGGTGTCACGTGCGTGTGTAGGGGACAGGGGCTCTGCTGGGGTGCGTGTTAGCTGGTGGTGTGTCGCCGTGCAGACATCTTGGGGTGCAACACGATTCGTGTTGGGGTGTAACTACTGGGCGAGCGAGCCGGGGTTCGAGACAGGGAGCCGGGAGGAAAAGGACCCGCGCGGGCCGAGAGCCCAAGGACACCTAGGCGACCTGCGCAAATAAGGAGAAGGAGCGACGCGGCCCCGCCTCTTCCTGCGCTTCCGGAGCGGCCGGCGCGCGCCGCGGCCCCTCCAGCCCGCCGCGGGCCTCCCGCCCTTCCGCCCGCCCCCACCCTGCCCGCGGAACCTCCTCCCTCCGCCGCTTCCGGGAGCCCGCAGCCCTCGGGGGCGCGGCCAGAGCGGTGGCGGGGCTTGTGCTGGGCGTAGCCTGGGTGGGTGTGGTCTTGCGAGGGCGGGGCTGCTCTCCGACTGCCCGCCCGAGACGTCGCCCCAGGTGGGCGTGGCCTCCGGGGCGTCGGGATTCACACTGCGGCTGCGCGCCGGACCTCTCGCGTCCCACCGCGGGCCGCAGTCATGCTGCGGACCCGCTGTCCCCGCCTGAGCACTCCGCTGTTCCGAGCCGCGCTGGAACTCGGGCGCGGCAGGCTGTCGAGCGTCGGGCGCGGGGGCGCCTGGCTGCGGCCGACGGGCCACGACACCGGCGTGCAGGTGTACAACAGTCTCACCGGCAGGAAGGACCCGCTGGTGGTGGCCCGCGCGGACGCCGTCTCCTGGTGCGTGGGGCGGGGCTCCGGGTTCCTCAGGCAGCCTGGGAGCGGTGCTCCGGCCCGCGGGTCGGGGTCACGCGTGAGGCACGGACGCGGGGTGGAGGCGTCCTGCGCGCTCCCGGAGGACTGCGGTCCTCGTGGCCGAGCATGTCAGGCCCCTCCGTCCTCACGCTGGATCTCATCTTCGTTCCAGGTACAGCTGCGGACCGACTGTGTACGACCATGCACACCTGGGCCACGCCTGGTAAGTCTCACGTCCAGGGTGACAGGAGTGAGCCACCGGCACCCGGGCTTGAATGTTTTTATCCACTTGTTACCACTTTGCAGGCAGTGAAACAAGTGGACGGAAGGATGACCCCAGCCCTGCTGTTTCCATAGGCCTCTTCACCTGCATTGCAGGCCAGGACACCCTGGGAGGCCCTGTGCCGGGAGGAAGTCAGGAGGCTGTGTAGGGAGCTGGAACCCAACTGATAGGAGATTGCTTAATTCCTTGGGTCCTGGCTTCTCCATCTTCGAGACAAGGGTGATAACCTTTTTGTTGTTGTTGGTGGTGGTCATGGGGACTGAACTCTGGGCCTGGGCACTGTCCCTGAGCTCTTCAGCTCAAAGCTGGCACTCTACCACTTGAGTCACAGCACCACTTCTGGCTTTTTCTATTTATGTGGTGCTGAGGAATCGAACCCAGGGCCTCATGCATGCAAGGCAAGCGCTCTACCACTGAGCCACCTTCCCAGTCCAAGGGTGATAACTTTCAGCACAAATTTTCAGCCTGGTGCCGGTGGCTCACACTTGTCATCCTAGTTACTCAGGAGGCTGAGATCTGAGGATTGAGGTTCAAAGTCAGCCCAGGCAGGAAAGTCTCTATTAATTGGAGATCAGAAACCCAGAAGTGGCACTGTGGCTCAAAGTAGACCACTTGCCTTGATTGAAAGACCTTAGGGACAGCGCCCAGGCCCTAAGTTCGAGTCCATGACCCCCTCTGCACCCCCCCCCAAAAAAAAGTCCAGCTTTCTAGATCTTCATGGATGTTTTAGGTGGTGTTGTGTGGCACATGGGTGTGAATGTTACACACAAGTGAGTGTGGGCAAAGCCAGCCTGGCTTTTGTCTTGCAGAGATGGAGATGGTATGGAAGTACCTTAGTGATACTCCTGGTGGTGGGAGGAATCTTAGCAGCCACGCCAGTGAGCACTTCATTTGGGAAAACACATTGAGGGCAGAAAGCCTGGCTGATGTCATGTGCTTGGGAGGCTTAGGTCTTTGGCTCCTCTTGCTTAGGTTTCTGACTTCAGCCGTCCTTTTACCTGCAGGGCACGCATTCCTGTGAAGGCGTTTACAACCTGAATGTGGGTGTGGTTATGGCCTAGCTTGTGGCCTGTGCCTCTAGTCAGGCACACCACCTCACCTGATTTCATTTAATCTAGGTATGGATAGAGTGTTCTTGGACATCTCATTTTTGCAGTCTTTCCCGGCTCTAGACTAGAGCAGGCCCTAGAGATGAGAACAACTGCCATGACCTAACTGCCATGACCTGTGGTTTTGGAATCTGTGCCACTGGAGTGAGATTCTGCACAACAGCCCTGAGGTTCCCAGGACTTGGCCCAGACAGACTCCCGAGGTTAAACACCTGGGCAGGGAGTTTCTGGAAGAGTTTTGTCACTAAGACCAAGGTTTGGCCTCAACTGTGTTTGGAGTGTGTATAGAGTTGGGGAAAGGGGTAGCTAAAGTGTGTGATAACATGACCAACTAGAGTTTGTTTTTTCAGTGCTGAGTGTTGAGCCCAGTTCTTGCATATGATAAGCATGATTTGTCTTTTATTCTCTGGAGGAAAATTATCTTGTGAACTCATACTTAGAGAAGCCATGGGCATAGTAAAAGTGGACATGAAATAACTGACCTGGGGCTTCAGGGCTGCTTCCATAAGAAACCACATTCCTGAGATTTGAAATGGATGTTGTACTTTTTGGTTTTGTAAGTCTGACTTACCTCAGCATAGCACGTAAAGAAGCTGGACTTCAATGTTCAGGAATGGCCTGATGCAGCTTGCAGGGTTGTATTTGTCCTGATTTGTGGTTGTTTGCTTCTATTCTTGGGCTTGAATTCAGGGCCTGGGTGCTGTCCTTGAGCTTTTTTGCTCAAGAGTAGTGCTCTCCTACTTGAGCCATGGCTTTACTTTCAGCACTTTGGTGGTTAATTTAAGAGTCTCATTGACTTTCTTGGTCAGAACTAGCTAGGATGACAGATGTGAGCCACCAGCAACTGGCACAAGTGAATTTTTTGATGTTTAAATAGATATGAGCCTCTTTACCAGTTCAAAATTAAAAGTACTTATTTTCTGTGCTGAAATTGGTTGCAGTTCTTTCATACCTGAGTGGGCCACAGAAGCATCCCATCAGTGGAAGGCCAGCCTTGCTAGCTCCTGTTGAACAATCTGGTCATTGTACTGCAAGAGTGAGCAATGTATTAAAGTAGAGGGAGCTTTTTCAAGGCTCGTACACCAGAGAAATGTAACTTTCTTTCAGCTCCTATGTCAGATTTGACATCATCCGAAGGATCCTGACGGAGGTGTTTGGATGCAACGTGGTCATGGTGATGGGCATCACAGATGTGGACGATAAGATCATCCGACGAGCCAGTGAGGTAAGTGTGGAAGGTGGACGCTTCTCACTAACTTGGTGGATGAATGACAGCTGTTCATTCTTAAACTGTATTGTACAAAAAAAAAAAAAGCACTCACATTCTGTCATCCATGCAGGACCCAGTTATTAGGAAAGGAAGTTCTCTTTGGAACTATGGTCAGTTTAATCCAGTTCCAGTCCCCCTGCAGGGAGTAACTCTCCCTCATACCAGTACAAGTGTGCACCACCATGCCTGGCTTTAAATGTGTTTGAGTGTGTGTGTGTGTGTATGTGCGTGTATGTGTATGTGTGTGTCCGTGTCCTGGGGCTTGAACTCAGGGCTTGGCTGGTACCCCCTGGCTCTTTTGCTCAAGGCTTTACCACTTGAGCCATGGCTCAATTTCCGGCTTTTTGATGATCAATTGGAGATCACAGTCTCATAGACTTTCCTGTGGGCTGCCTTTGAACTGTGGTCTTCAGATCTCAGCTTCCTGAGTAGTTGAGAGTCACCAGTGAACGCCTAGCTAATTTCTTTAAAAATTAAATCTTCTGCAGAGTAATGGGAAGCAGAGTTCAGAGGATCCCTGCCTCCCTTTGCCTGGATTTCCTTAGCAAAGATCTTCTCCCTTTTGCATCAGCATAGGCCTGTACCAACCTGATGCCCAGCCCACTGTGAATCTTCCAGACAGGGGACCAGCTTGTTTGCCACCACATGTCCCTCTCAGAAACAGGCCCTGTCCCGGTGTTGGCCCATCCCATGACACCTCCCTTCTCTTCTGGTCCAGGACCCCCTCTGGACTGTCCCTCAGCCTACAAGGATGCCTGGGCTGTCACTTGTTGGTTGTGTCAAGTCCTTGACAGTCCTGAGACAGCAGGCCTTTCCCTTTGTGGCACATTTCCTCATTTGGCAGTGAGTGTCCAGGGTTGTAGGTCTGTAGATCACACTGACCTTGTGGGCAGGACCTTAGACCCAGACTTCTGATTCCTGGCTCCTCCAGGCAGGGCCTCTGCAGGTGTGGCTCTGCCATGGTGGTGCTGGATTTCTTGTCATTCAAGGTTGGCCTTGAACTGACACTGTATAGCTTACCACCTCCAGAGGGCGCTCCAATATTCCTGGCTTTTAATTTTGTGGTGCTATTAAACTCAGGGCTTGCACATACTATGCAGGTGAGCCAGGCCCCAGCCAACTGTTGTATTTTTTTTTTTTTTTTACCAGTTATTGCTGACAGTCTATGCTGAATTTGTTTGAATTTGTGCACAGGGTCAGTACTGTCCGTGGTTTGAGGTATCACCTGGGGTCTCACAGGGGATCCCCAGGCATAAGTGGGAGACTATTCTAGCTTTCCTTTTTTCTTCAAGATAGTGTCTTTTAATATGCCTTTTATCTGAAACCATAGTTATAAAAGGATGTGTTTTTCAGTTCTTAGAAAAAAAAAAGGCTAGTCTTTAATAAAAGCCTTTTCTAAAGTTAAAACAGAAACTTTTTTAAAACTTTTTTTTTTGGTAAGTTGTGAGGCTTGAACTCTGGGCCTGGGCATTGTCAGCTGAAAGAGAGCATGTTACCACTTCAGCCACAGCCACTTCTGGTTTTCTGGTAGTTAATTGGAGATAAGAGTCTCATGGACAGCCGGGCGCTGGTGGCTCACGCCTGTAATCCTACCTACTCAGGAGGCTGAGATCTGAGGATCTCGGTTCAAAGCCAGCCCGGGCAGGAGAGACTGTGAGACTCCTATCTCCAATAAACCACCAGAAAACCGGAAGTGGCGCTGTAGCTCAAGTGGTAGAGCGCTCGCTTTGAGCTGCAGAGCTGAGGGACAGCGCCCAGGCCCAGAGTTCAAGCCCCATGACTGAAAAAAAAAAAAAAAAAGAATCTCATGGACTTTCCTGCTTGGGCTGGCTTTGAACTGTAATCCTCAGATCTCAGCCTCCTGAGTAGCTAGGATTACAGGCATGAGCCACCACTGGCGCCCAGCTCATTTGTTAGTCCTGAGAGGAGCTCAGGGACATGGAGGAGTGTGTCTCTGGTCAAGCACCGCCAGGATCTCCAGAACCTTTTCATGGTGCAGATCTGGAAGTATTAACACCAGCTCCCTGCCCTCCCTACTGCCTGCCAGTCTCCAAATGAGTTACCTGGCGTTTTCCTTTTGTGACTGGTGTAGTTCACTAGACATGATCACCTTAGGCCTCCAGAGTCCTCCATGCTAGAGCGGGGTCAGTGTTTTCTCCACAGGCCGAGTAGCACAGTGCATGTGAGTGGACCACACTGAAGAGTGGACCACACTGAAGTGTGTACTCCTTCTCCTTCAGTGGACGCATGGCCTGCTTCCAACACACCCTTTTAAGTTTTGCTTGATAATCTTTCAAGACATTTGTTTTTAAATGTTGACAATGACATCATTATAGTTTTCTGAATTTCTTCCTTGACTTTAATTTTTGGTCTAATTTTATCCTTTGTCGGGGTAAAAATTCACAGCAGGGTAAACAGGTACATCTGCATGGCACAACACTTTATGTTAAATCATCCTGGTGATTCCCACTGAGTGACTCAGGTCCAAATCATTCTTTTTTTTTTTTTTTTGGGTCCGGTCGTGGGGCCTGAACTCTGGGCCTGGGTGCTGTCCCTCAGCTCTTCAGCTCAAGGCTAGCGCTCTACCACTTGAGCCACAGCACCACTTCCGGCTTTTTTCTGTTTGCTTATGTGGTGCTGAAGAATCGAACCCAGGGCCTTGAGCATGCAAGACAAGCGCTCTACCACTGAGCCACCTTCCCAGCCCCCAAATCATTCTTGTGGTCACTGTCCTGTAATCCCTGGCTTTCTGACAATAAGAAATGTTCCAGAAAGGCTGGAGGCTGAGTCTGAGGGTTGAGGGTCAGTCCCCTGGGGCTCCCTAGGAAGAAGAGGGGAGGCTCACTTGACGTGGTTGCTTGTACTGCAAGGACTGGAGCCCCTGTGGCTCAGGCTCACGTGGCTTGTGTTAGGGAACAAAAGGCAGCTCTGTCCCAGGATGTGGGATGACAGCTGCTTAGGAACTGGATTTAACATCTGGCTTCTAGAAGGGACTACCCTGGCACAGAAGGAGGGCATAGCCCTAGCAGTTCAAACACTACCAGAAGTTGTCTAACCACAGCTGTGGGTGTGGGACTGACCTGACGTAGTTGCACGTATTAGTCCCAGGGGACAGTGTGACAGTGTTCAAATGGATGCTCCCTGTAGACATGGACACGCTGCCCTCACCCCACAGTGTGCTTTGTCCCTTTCTTTCCCCCTCCCCCCCTCCCGCCTCCTGTTCCCCCAGAGCCTGTCATCTGCCTGCCTCCAACTACTGCCATTAAACACTGTTGTACTGAACACAGACAAACAGTGAACCTGTTTTTTCTGGGAAACTCTAGAATTCAATACACTAACTGGTTTGAATTTATTTTATGATAGAAGATGGCATTTCAAATCAGTGGGGGAGAAAGAGGGATTGTGTGACAGTTGGGTCGCCATCTGGAGAAAGACAAACACAAAGCCGTGTCATGCATCGTCCACCTCCAAATGGGAGGGTGCTGAAGAGCTGTGTCAGAGGGAGGAAGCGGTTACTAGAAGCAAGCCCATGACTTTCCCTACAGTCTCATGTTCTGAGAAAGGGGTGTCCCAGTTTGTTTCCAAGTCCAGGACCCATTCGAGGGAAGAGGTTCAGAAAGACTGCAAACATAAACAATATTCTGTGTGCTATGAGCAACCATACTGTTGAAAATCTGAAAAATGAATGGAAATTTCTATCAGGGCTAGATGATTAATTTCTGCTAGGCATGGTGTGACACATGCTGGTGAGCCAGCACCCCAGGAGGTTGAGGCAGAAGGATCTTAAGTTCAAAGTCAGCAATGCAGTGAGATCCTATTTCAAAAGAAAAAAAGCTAATTTCTTGACTATAGAAGTAGTTTCTATAATAAGATGTACAACTCAGTATAAAAATGGATATGGAGAACTGTAGATCTTTTATGAGATGTCCCAGCTCACTCAAGAGAGAACCTGGGCAGTGGTGGCTCATGCCTATAATCCTGGTTATTCAGGCGCTGAGATTGGAGGATTGAGGTTCAAAGCCAAGTCCCAGGCAGGAAAGTCTGAGAGACTCTTATCTCTAGAAAACTGGAAGCGACGCTGTGGCTTAGAGTGATAGAACACTAGCCTTGAGTGTAAAAGCTCAGTGACAGCACCCAGGCCCTAAGGTAAAGTCTCAGAACCAACAAAAATGAAAAGCCATTATTGAGGGTTTGCGCTCAGGACCTCATGCTCTTGCTTGGCCTTTCCACTTAAGGCTGGTACTCTACCACTTGGGCCTCCACCTCCATATCCACGTTGCTACTACTTAATTAGAGCTAAACATCTTTCAAATCTGTCTGGCTTTGAACCATGATCCTGAAGGCACAGCCTCCTGAGTGGTTAGGATTACAGGTGTGAGTCACTGGCACCTGGCAAGATTCCCTCTTTAATATAATTTTGACCTTTATCTTTTCCTCTTGAGGGGCTCAGAGGTAGGAACTTACTTCTTGTCTCGTAGACTAGCCTGATGATTTTGGTTTAGAAACACGGGGTGGGGTAGCTTTGCAGTCCACAGTAGGAATCATGGCCTTACTAGTCATCACTAGTTTATTATCTATGACTGATGGTCTGGGCAGGGTGGAGCCACACTGAGGCTCAGCCCCAGCAGGTGGTTGCCACCCCAGCCACAAGGACAGCCTGCAGGAGTGGGTTTGCTCCTGGGCAGTACTGGGCATTCCCTAGTCTGCTAACATACCCATCCAACCCCTCTGCAGATGAACATGACACCTGCTGCTCTCGCCAGCATCTACGAGGAAGATTTCAAGCAAGACATGGCTGCCCTGAAGGTAAGGCACATTGACTCTCCCTCCTGGGAGGAAAGCATGCGGGAACCAGGGAGGGTATAGGTGCTGACTTGAGTGCTCCAGAACAACCCAGTCCTAGAGTCTGAGCACCTGCCACCAGTGCTGACTAGAGAGACGCAGATCTAGGGTGGCAGTGTGCGATCTGGCTTACTCCAGCTAATAGAGAGTCCACTTGGTCCAGCTTCACAGACTGCTCAGACTGCCCTTGGCACACTGGGAGACTGCCGAGAGCCGACCAGCATCACTTAAGGCCGTCATGGAGGTGCAGCTCAAGATGGCAGCGGCCTGCCGGGGCGGGTCTGCACACTTTGGCTCAGAGCCTGGCCATACTCATTCTCTTCCAGGTGCTGCCACCCACCGTGTACCTGAAGGTGACTGAGAATATCCCTCAGATAATCACTTTCATCGAAGGGATCCTTGCACGTGGGCACGCTTACTCCACAGCCAAAGGTAGTGTTTATGTTGTAAAAACTGGCCATTTGTGATGGCACTGGGATTTTGAGAAACTGGAAATATCTGTTGTTGAAACTTGCTGACGTTTCACAGTCTGTGGATAGGTTCCTGCAATGACAATCTCCCGGGTTTCCTCGCAGCACTGAGTCTGTCAGGAAAACCCTTGCGCCTGTTCTTTTTGGTACAGGCTTCCCCAGTGGCAGGGGACATGTGCGCCCGAGAGCTGGGCATGGTCCCCGTGGAGTCTGGGCAGCATGTGTCCAGGTGTTCATTGCCTGCTTTCAACTTTGTTTATGAGTTGATTTTTTTCCTTTTTTTTTTTAACTTCTACTGGGGCTTGAACCCCAGAGCCTGAGTGCTAGTCTTAGCTTTTCCACTTGAGCCACAGCTCCACTTCTGGCTTTTTGATAGTCAATTGAAGATCAGAGTCCCACAGACTTTCCTGCCTGGGCTAGTTTTGAATTGGGATCCTCAGATCTCATCTACCTGAGGAGTTAATATTTCAGGCCTGAGCTACTTATTTATTTTACTTATTTTATTTATTTTTGTCGGTTGTGGGGCTTGAACTCTGGGCCTGGGCACTGTCCCTCAGCTCTTCAGCTTAAGGGGAGTGCTCCACCACTTGAACCACAGCGCCACTTCTGGTTTTCTAGTTGTTTATTGGAGATCAGAGTCTCACAGACTTTTCTGCCTGGGCTGGCTTTGAACCACGATCCTCAGCCTCCTGAGTAGCTAGGATGACGCATGAGCCACCAGCGCCTGGCATCATTTAGAATTTTTTTTTTTTTTTGGTCGGTCATGGGGCTTGAACTCTGGGCCTGAGCACTGTCCGTCAGCTCTTCAGCTCAAGGCAAGCGCTCTACTACTTAAGCTACAGTGCCAAAGGCAAGGCCTCTGATGACCTCTCCCTTCCTGTTAGCGCTTAACCCTAGGGTGTTCATATTAGTGCTCCCCAGAAGTTAGCTGCCTTTCAGCACTAACTTGCTTGCATGTAAATTAAAGGAGCCTAGAGCTGTGGTCAGCTATAACCATGTCCTTCCCGGAAAGGTCTGTCCCTTCCATGTGGCCATGGAGTCAAGGGGCTCACTGTACTTTTTAGTTCTCATTTATTCATTTTGACTCTACTAGGGATTAAACCCATAACTCTTTCTAGTTTAGTGCTCTTCCACTTGAGCTCACTCACTAGCACACTTTACCCCACCAGTCTAGTCTCCCTTGCTCCCTGCTTAGTGACTTTGGTGCGCGTGCACGTGTGTGTGTGTGTGTGTGTGTGTGTGTGTGTGTATGCATGCAAATTCAGGACATTGCACTCTTGCTTGGCTTTTTTTTTTTTGCTTCAGCTGGTCTTCTGTCACTTAACTGTGCCTCCTCTTTCTGCTTTTTGCTGGTTGATTGAAGATGAGAGTCTCACAGGTTTGTTTTCCTCAGATCTGAGCCTCCTTAGTATTTAGAATTACAGGTGTGAACCACAAGCCACCAGCTCCTTGGGAACTTTTTCATGAGACACCAGTTTGCACGATGCCCTCGTCCTGCAGCATAAGACTGGCCTTAGTCCTGCAGCATAAGACTGGCCTTAGTCCTGCAGTATAAGACTGGCCTTAGTCCTGCAGTATAAGACTGGCTGCTCCTGTGGTCACATGAGGCTCAGCCTCCCCACCTCTGTACCCCTCTCTGGATGCTCACCAAAAGCATGCTCTGTGGTCTTTCCCATAGTGCACACAAATTTCTTCCTCAGTGCTGTCATCTGCTGTACCTGTGGCACCCCGGCAAGCACTCCTATTTTACTGTCTCCATCTAGACCGTAAATCCTCAGGCTGTAAAGCTCTTTTGCTGAATAATCTATTAAGGCCCCAGCCTAGGGCATGGTGGGGCAGGATCAGAGTGCTTGCCGCAGGTCAGCAGTGAGGTAGAAAGGCCTGCTGTGGCCACTGTCCATGAGGCCCACAGTGAAGGGGAGCCGAGGCCCTGCACAGGAGCTTGCTTGGGGAATTGCCGCTTCTCCTTGATTCCTTGGGCAAGGGGCCCTTTCTGGGCATAGATGGCAGACAGAGCATCTTTCCTTATTGTCTCATTTCCTTGTGTTATTATAAAACTTTACTGACGGCATAAACATAATTAATTCAACACATACATTCATCTACTCCCAGTAATTTGGACTTTGACAATTCCACAAAAGCTTGGCTGTAATTTGATCTTTGAACTGTTGGTGAAAACAATTTGTTCAGCAGACTGCAACCAGCAGCGACAGAGATGACAGGGAAATGCAGAAGACGTTTCTTCTGTCTGAGGCCAGTTCTGTTTTCACAGTATGTTTACATGGATGGGGGCCGAGTGTCTCCTCCACTGACAGCCAACAAGGAGATGGGGGGCCTATGGGGGCAGGCTGATGTCTGGTCACCTGGCTCTGTTTTCCAGGCAGCTCAGCCTGCTCCCCTCTATCCCTCCCCTGTGTCCTGAGCCCCAGGCATACAGTGCGGGGCTCATGTGCACTTGTGTCTGCAGGGCAAGAAACTTTCTTGGCCACAGGAAATCCTGTTTTCAAGATCAGGGCTTCCAATAAGGGTAGCTAGCCCAAGTGTGTACCAGAAGCCATTTGTAAAAAGTGAACTTGAAGGGCTGGGAAGGTGGCTCAGTGGTAGAGCGCTTGCCTTGCATGCTCCAGGCCCTGGGTTCGATTCCTCAGCACCACGTAAGCAGAAAAAAAAAAAAGCTGGAAGTGGCACCGTGGCTCAAGTGGTAGAGTACTAGCCTTAAGCTGAAGAGCTGAGGGACAGTGCCCAGGCCCAGAGTTCAGGCCCCACAGTGGACCCTCCCCCCCCCAAAAAAAAAAAAAGTGAACTTGAAGACTGAAAGTTACAAATGTATGAAGATGAGAAACTGCCTGTGCCAGGGCCCAAGCGATGGTCCCTGCTGCTCACGGTGGCAGGCGGGTGAGATTGGGGTACAGGGGCAGGTCTGTGGCCTGGGCAGCTTTCCTGGGCAGGATCTCCCTCCTCTGAGCCCAGCTGCCCAGCTCTACACTTCCTTCCCAGCCTGGCTGCCTCACACTTGCCTGTGGAAGTGGGCTTAGCTGTCCAGGCTGACGCAGTGTGCCCATGCCATCCATCCTTCATCTGGTGCGCAGGTCATTCAGGAGACGTCTGGGCATTGGTCAAGATACGTTGTACTTGTTAATTGCTGAGTTGAAAATCCTTTGTACAACTACTTTAAAGTAATAACAACAACAATAATAAAAGAAGATACTTGGGTAAGGTGTCCACACTGGCCCCAGGCAGAACCAGGAGATCTTGTCTGAAAAGTAACTACAAGCAAAAAGCACCATGCAAGGCTCAGAACAGAGCATCTGTCTAGTAAGGGCAAGGTCCTGAGTTCAAACCCCAGCATCACTAAAATAAAAAGCACAAAGCCTAAGAGCTGAGGGAATGTGAACCACACAACTCTTCTCATGAGAACAGTGGTCTCAGGGAGTGCTGCGCTCCTGTTGGTGCTTTCAGGTCCCCTCCACGCCATGGCCACATACATCCATGCCACAGCCATGTCATGCTTTAAACGTGCCACGCAGGCCGCCACCCTCACACGTAAGCTGTAGTGGTTTGTCGGCTTGAGGCTTGACGAGGTGCGGAGATGATGAGTTCCTGTCTGTGTGCCAGGCAATGTCTACTTCGACCTGAGGTCCCGGGGGGGCGAATATGGCAAGCTGGTGAGCGTGGTGCCTGGGGCGGCTACAGAGCCAGGTGAGTGCTGAGCTCTCCGGTGTCCTGACCTCCCGTGTGACCCCCAGCTGGAGCAGGACATGCGCAGACGTGGGGCTGGTGGTGACACTGCCCATCTGATCGCTGCGCAGTAGAGTTAATTCATTTCTTGGAGTAGATGAAACTTGGGGAGTCAATGGTCAAGCAATGTCGCCTCTTCCCACCTCCCTGAGCCCTGCCCTCGGTTGCTCTCTGATTCCCCCCAGGTTTCTAGCATCAGTGAAGAAAACATATTTGAAAAGGAAAGCCAAAAAAAAAGGAAAACTGAAAGGGCTGGTGGTGCGGCTCCAGTGGTAGAGCTCCTGCCTAGCGAACACCAGGGATTAAATTCACACCCCAGTACTGCCAAAGAAATTTTTGTTTGTTTGTTTGTTTGTTTTTGGTCCGGTCGTGGGGCCTGAACTCTGGGCCTGGGTGCTGTCCCTCAGCTCTTCAGCCCAAGGCTAGCACTCTACCACTTCAGCCACATGCCACTTCTGGCTTTTTGCTTATGTGGTGCTGAGGAATCGAACCCAGGGCCTCATGCATACAAGACCACTGAGCCACCTTCCCAGCCCCAAGAAATCATTTTTATATAGACCCGAATTTAAAGCTGTTCAAGGGTCACTGCTTCAGGGCCACAAAAGAAAAGCAAGCAAATCCCTGGAGACCGAGAGGCTGAGGTATCTGTGACATTATGCGCCCTCTGCCTGATTCGCAAACTTCCCCACCTGGCCTTCCATCTTCCTGCATCTCTGGGATAACAGATGTGTCCCATCACACCTGGCTTGTTGGTTGAGATGGGTCTTGCTTATTTTTGCCCCAGCTAGCCTTGAACCAAATCCCTCTGACCTCTGCCTCCTGAGGAGGATTACAGATGTGACTGACTGATGTCTGAGACATTATATAGACGTTACAGCACCTAAGGTGGCTCTGAAGCTACAGTTTTCAACTACAGTGGGTTGAGTGGAAGAGAGAGCTCCCATCTCACCTCTTCCCCATCCTCCACATGGAGCACACATGGGGTTCCCATCCCGACATGTCCTCTGTGCTGCTGCCTTTCCACAGCCTCAGCTCTGGCTTCCTGTTAGCATTATCCACACCTTTGGTCCTCAGCTCCACCCAGACTTGAGCTCCTCCCAGCCCTGGAGTTCCCGCCATACAGCTGGCCACTCCCTCTCTCCGTCCAGACCCACCTGAGCGTGCACCTACCTCACTTCTGACCCCTAGAGCTGCCTGCTACCTGGATAGTGGAGGCTGCCAACTGTTCCTCTCCTGGGAAATATGGCTCCTCTAATAAACCTTGTAATCTTTCTCCGGTGCTTGCCTGCCTCCGCGTGGTCCCCTGGGATGGACGTGAAGGATCCCTACACTTCCCAAATGGGCAGCTCTCTCTGCTGCCCATGCCCAAGAGCACCCAAGGGCTGGGCTGGTGTGCCTCTGCCTCTGCCTCGCCATTAGTCTTCTTGCTGAAGGCCATCTTGGTGGCTTCCACGCTGGGCAGTTAGGACCAAAGCTGCTGCAGGCGGCGCAGGAAGCATGCTGTCCACTCGTGGGGAGCAGACGGGGGGGTGGTGGCTGGATGGTGGTAACACGATCTGTTTGGGGGAACACAGCGGACCATCTTCCCCAGCACTCCTCAAAGCGAGCAAGTCTTCTTCCCGCCCACGTCCTCACGGCCTTGAAATGATTGCTTTCTTGTACACAATTAGGGAATAAAAATACGTTCCTCCTCCAGCGATCGATTCAGACAAACGTCACGCCAGTGACTTTGCCCTGTGGAAGGCAGCGAAGCCCCAGGAGGTGTTCTGGGCCTCACCATGGGGGGATGGAAGGCCCGGCTGGCACATCGAGTGCTCTGCCATGGCCAGGTAAGGCTCCCGTGTGTGGCACTGCCCACAGTAGCTTCATACAGAGCCCAGTGTGGGAGGCCCAGAGCCCAGTGCTGGGAGCTTGGCACTGGCCTCTGCCTGGCTTCCAGGGAGTGGAAGTGGCTTTTCCTGGTAGCTTCTTGGGACAGCTGTGCCTCCATCCCACCAGCTATCTTAGCATACTAGCACATGGTTCAGGGCCTGAACCAGTGAATGATGGGTCTCAGGGAACTGAGGTGCCTCCAAGCAGTGTCCTTAGTCAGCTGGACAATGACCTGTGTGTCCTTGCCTATCTGGCCAAGCCGTCCTGTAGCACTGGCTCCAAGTCCCCCGGGCCGCAGGGTCCATGAAGGCAGCCTGTGGCCCTGCCTTCTCTACCTCCTTCAAAGGTGTCAGGTGGCACCTCTGTCCGGTGGCCCCGGGAATGCAGAATTGATGAAGCTGGAGCATAGGTGTTCAAAAGCCAGATGAAAAATGCTCACAACGTCACAGTTCTGTCTCTCATTGAGGATGGAAAGCCCTTAAACTCTACCTGTGGAAAGGAAGTTTTCTTTACAACTATGTGTTGTATCTGGAGGACAGAGTTAAATGTCTTCACTAGGTTGGACTGCTGTGTGGGATTTACAGCAGGTTTCAGTTTTCATCTGATTCAAATATCCTGGAAACTGGCCTGACAACTGAGATCCGTTTCCTGTTGCTCAGTGGCGGGGCTTGGGGAACTGGAGTAGAACAGAGCTAATCCACCCCTCCCACCTTGCTTGCCAGCCTGGTGTTTGGAAGTCAGCTGGACATCCACTCTGGTGGGATAGACTTGGCTTTTCCACACCACGAGAACGAGATTGCACAGAGCGAGGTCTTCCATCAGAGCAGACAGTGGGGAAATTACTTCCTGCATTCAGGTGAGTCTTGACTTGCCGGGGTCACTCCACTCTGTGCTCCCTTGGTGAAACAGCTACATTCACCTGGAAATTCATACTTATATCAGCGACTAGGCAGGCCAAGGGTCAGGTATTTGTGAGATGACTGAAATTTGAGTGGTTGGACCTGAATTTCTTTTTTTTGTAAGTTGTGGGGCCTGAACTCTGGGCTGGGGGCTGTCCCTCAGCTCTTCAGCTCAAGGCTAGTGCCCTACCACTTGAGCCATAGCGCCACTTCCGGCTTTTTCTGCTTATGTGGTGCTGAGGAATTGAACCCAGGGCCTCATGCAAGGCAAGCACTCTACCACTGAGCCACCTTCCCAGCCCTGGACCTGAACTTCTTTGGATGCAATGAAGAGCATGCAAAGTGCTTTACAATGATGTTTTATACATGTTTATTTCAAATAAGACCATTAACAGAGGATTTATTTTCACTCTTTCTGTGCCAGTTCTAGGGCTTGAACTCAGGGCCTGGGTGTTGTGTATTGTTAGATTTTGGCTCATGGCTGCACTCTACCCACTTGAGCCACAGCTGTACTTCCAGCTTTTTTCCCCTCTCCTATCCAATTGGAAAGAAGAGTGTCACAGACTTTCCTGCACAGCTGGCTTGGAACCTCCATCCTCTGATTTCACACTCTGGAGTAGCTAGGATTACTTGTGTGAGCTGCTGGTGCCTGGCTTCGTTTGTACTGTGAATGGATCTTTTACAAAGGAACATACCTTTGAAGTATAAACTGTCTAGCTTCTGGTGCTTTATTGTAGTAACAGAAAATGACCTGACAAAGGCACTGATCACATTCATTTGGGCTCTACCCTCATGAACTCCACCTTGTCAGAGACCCCACCTGCTTACCCGGTCCCCCCCCCCCCCCCCCCCCCCCCCCCACACTTTGGGGAGGATGTCAGCATGGGGGTTTGTTGGAGGACATCTGCCTCAGACCACAGCAGGGGGCTTTTGTTCTGCAGATATGTCTGTTTTTAAACATTTTCACTGCTGGGCACTGGTGGCTCATGCCTGTAATCCTAGCTATTCAGGAGGTTGAGATCTGAGGATCGCGGTTCAAAGCCAGCCCAGGCAGGAAAAAGCCATGAAACTCTTTATCTCCAATAAACCACCAGAAAACTGGAAGTGGTGCTGTAGCTCAAGTGGTAGAGTGCTAGCCTTGAGCTGAAGAGCTGAGGGACAGTGCTCAGGCCCAGAGTTCAAGCCCCATGACCGACAAAATAAAATAAAAAAATAAACATTTTCACTGTGCATAATATCTAACAAGTGATGTAGAAGTCCATACGCAGGGTTATTTCATGTGTGCTGTGCTCCATAGAATGGTGCAGGTGAGGTTTTATGCACATGTAATTCCACACAGTGTTAGATCGATGAGTTCAGTAGAACAGCATGGGTACCACTCGTGACATGTTTGGTATGCAGTGCATGACACATTTCCCTGTCTCCCAGGTGACTTTCCAGGTGTGACATGAGCCTTATGGCCCCTTAGCTGACTCTGGCCAGGACCTGGATTACAGGTCCAGAAGTTGGAGCCCTGTGTTTGTCCCTTGTGATTACGGAAGGGTCTTGCTCTAACCCAACTCAGAAGGAATTCTTTTGTTTTCTCTTCAGGACATTTGCATGTGAAAGGTACAGAAGAAAAAATGTCCAAATCTTTAAACAACTACATCACCATTAAGGTAATGTGTGGGGTCTGTGTGGACAGCTCACTGCAGGGATGAGAGGTCCAGTGAGGCCAAGGCAGAGACAGATGTTAGAAGAGGGAGCAACTTCATCAGAACCTGAGTGCCACCCTGTGACTGCTGCCTGCCCAGTCCCTGGGCAGGGCTGGCTGAGTGTGGCTCCTGCTCCCAGCCTTGCCCCTTTCCATCCGTGCCCCCAGGAGACATGTGTCCCAGAGGCACCAGACTCCCCAGCAGCTGGGCAGCAGAGTCTTGGGGTGGTAAGTGGCTCCTCTCCGTCCCCACAGTCCATGGTGGAATCTAACAGTAGACCATGTGCTCATGAGATTGAGGACAGGCAGGGTCCCACAGGGCTTCCTGCTTCGAGCATGTGGCCTGGTGCGGTGACGTATCACTGTCCCTTTCTAGGACTTTCTGCAGACATTCTCCCCCGATGTCTTCCGGCTATTCTGTATGCGCAGTAGCTACCGCTCAGGTGAGTGGAGTGGGTAGGGTGGCCTTCCTGGCCACTGCCCACTCAGCCATGCCCACGCACTCACCCATTGAGCCTGAGGACTGCAGGGATGCACGGGGGTCCCCAGGATGGTGTGGCTGCGGCCACCCTTTAGGGTCTGGCTGTAATTTGTGACTCAGGAAGTGGTCCAGAGGCAAGACCCAGCACTGTGGGTGCCACGCCCTGATGGCCACTCAGAGCTGGCTGTCCCTTCGGCCTTCCGTGGGCCCTCCATCTGCCTGGCACTGAAACAAGGTCCTAGGCCAGAAAGTACCACATTTCCTTGGCCATTCATGCTTTTGGGGTAAAGACCTTGCTTCAGGGCGGCTCTGGGGCCGCAGTGCCCTCGGGTCCCTTGAGTGGGCTTCTGCTTGGCACATGGCCCCTCCGTAGCAGTGTCTCTCTCCACAGCCATTGACTACAGCAACGGGTCCATGCAGGAAGCCAGGCGCCTGCTGCTGGGGCTGGTGTCTTTCGTGGAGGACGCACGCGCCTACCTGAAGGGGCAGCTGGCTTGCGGCCCAATCAGCGAGGATGTGCTGTGGGAGAGGTAAGGCTCTCTGCCAGCAGGAGCCATTCCTGGGGAAGAGGCGGCGCAGGTCACGGGCTCCTGGGAAGCCCAGCAGCTCCCAGGCATTGTCCTTGCTGGCCCTGCTGCTGGCAGAGATGCCACGTAGTGTCCAGACTAGACCTGCCCTTCCCAGGCCTCACAGTATGCCTGGCGAAAACTGGCATCTGACCATCCAGCTGCCTCTGGCTCCAAGCTGAGTGGACAGGTTAGACTTGTAGCAGCATGGTGGGGATGCGGGGCATGGCGGCTAACGCTAAGCTGCCACAGGAAGCAGTAATTTGGCTGCTGCAAGTGAAAGGCACCACGTCCTCTGCACATGGTGACCCCTGCCCTGTCCCTCAGGGAGACGCCCCACGCTGTGTGGCTCGGGATGGCCAGGGCGAGGCTGTGAGGGGCCAGAAAGGCACCACCTCTCACTCTCCATCTCTTTCCTACTCAGCTCCAGGCCTGGTGCTGGTGTACTCAGTGGGAGGCATCACCCTTGTGACTGCACACGGAGGGTGCATGCCAAGCGCCTGCTGGACGGGAATCCGCTGCAGGGCTTACCAGGCAGGGCTCTAACTGGGAAAGATGGGCTGGTCATGCGATCGATCACTCACTACCCATGTGCAGGAACTGAGCTGGAGCAGCCTGGGCTCGCAGGGTCTGGAAGGGGCATTTGAGGGCACAGGTGTTGCCAGTCCTCCCAGTGTGGCCCCCAGTGGCTGGGCTTGGGATCACCTGTGACCAGTGGCTAGCCTCTGCACTAAGTCATTGGGCCATGCCTGCCAGCAGCTACTCTTCCCTTGATGGCTCTGCTCTGTCTCAGCAGCTCCTGTTCTGCCAGCAGTGTACCACTGTCACCGCGGCCGCAGCCACGGGGCCGCCTCAGCCCCAAGCACTGCTGTGACCACGGAGCCCTGTTGGTCTCCTTCAGCCTTGAGAGCCCCCAGACACTCATCTCCCCCAGGTCCCCATAGGGTCAGAGAGAAAGGAGGGACAGGTGAGGAGGGCTGTTTCCAGACAAGCTGGCAAGGGTTCTTCCTCAGTGACCTCAGAACGGGAGCTCGGGACCCTGGGTCTGGAATAGCAGAGGTGCTGATCCTGGAAGTTCCCTGGATCTCGGAGCCCAGCCCGAGGCAACTGTTCCCTCCCAGAAACAGCAGAGGGAGCTGTTGGGAGCAGGCTGGAGTGAATGCAGAGAGCAAGCAGCACCCGAGGCAGGCCCGCCCCTGCTTCCTGTGCCCTCATGGTGCCAGTTCAGGGCACCCTACTTTCTTCCTCCCCAGTCCCGCACAGACTGCCCTCCAGGGCTGGGGAACGTCCACACTGTTCCCGTGGGTCTTTGTGATTTCCTCATCAGATGGAGAAGGGCTGTGCATGTGCGGAGACCCTGGACTCCTGAGCCTCTAGCTTTTGCGGGGCAAAAAAACCACCAGCTTTCCCAAGCTCTTTCCTCACTGGGCAATGTCTGACGCATGTAATCGTAGCAATCTCACTTAGCACCATTGAGTCTCCAAGCTGCCATGGTAATCAGTGGACGGATTTCTGATTGGGGTAACTTAGAGCTGATGGTGACACAGGTGATGGTTAGGAATGTGGGCATGGGTTAAGAAGGAGTGCCAGGCTGAGCCCTGCTGACCTAGTGACTATCTTTCCTCAGGCTCACCAGCAGCAAGAGCGCTGTGAAGGCTGCGCTGGCCGATGACTTCGACACATCCCGGGCAGTCGACGCCATCCTGGACCTTGTGCACCATGGGAACCGGCAGCTCAGGGTGGTCACTAAGGTAGTGAGGGATGTGTGGTCCTCACAGCCCACGCGTGGCAGGTCAGGGTTCCACCCAGGGGAGAACCAGGCTCTGAGTCTCCCATGGCTGGCCGTGACAGGGCCTCATGGCATACTGAGGGCCTATCCCCCAGGAGTAAACATGGAATGCACACAGTGGTGGAATACTGTGCTGGCAGAAGGTAGCTCCAGGAATGTTCTGGAACAGGACCTGTCAGTCTTGGGGGGGGGGGGGCAGTTCCAGGATTTTTCCAGAACAAGATTGTTCTGGAATAGCCCAGTTTTCTCTGGGCTGCCGGCTTTCACCCGAGTCCTGCACCACCAGGCTCCCCCTTGTCCCAGTGGGCACCTTATGCAGCGCAGGGAGTGTGGACAGTTCAGGTGTTAAGTGAAGAGCCTGACCTGTGCAGGTTCCCTGAAGCCTCTGCCATCCCAGACTCACCTCCCATGGCCCCTCTGTGCCTGATCACTGATGCCTGCCATGGGACTTGCTTCCTTTTCATTCTGACCCAGAATTCCACCACTGTACCCTGCGCCATGCTTAACCCACAGGCCCCTGGGGCCTATATGGCAAATGGGTAAAACTGAGGCACGGGGATGGTGTGGTTTGCCTGTGAGGCTGGCCATGCAGGTGGGAACTCATGGCCTCAGCCGGCCGGCTCCAGAGCAGAAGTGGCCACTGTGCTCTCCATGCCCTGGGTGTCTCCTTTGCATGTGCGCGGTCCTTCGGCCACTCTGCTCCATGTTGATCTTTTCTAGGAACCCGGAGGCCCCAGAAGCCCGGTGGTGTTTGGCGCCATCGTCTCTTTCGTTGAGCAATTTTTTGAGATGGCTGGGATCTCTCTGGGCCAGCGACAGGTGCGTCCTCCCCAGGGTGAGTTCGGCAGGGATCCCCTGGATCTGCCTTTACAGTACATTCACCTTGGGATGGGGTGCCTGTCCCGCTGACATGCCAAAAACATGAACGTCCTCAAAAAATTAGCACCACCCCATCAACTGACATTCTGCATGAACCCCTCGTAGGCAGAGCCCAGCTAGCCCCGTCAGCTCCCATCGGCCCCTTCCTCGCAGTGCTCACCTAGCCATGTGTTTAGGTTGAGGCTGCCAGGGTCCCCCATGATCCTGTCCCTCCCTCCCCAGTGGGGAGTGCCTTTGTCATGTGACACCGGCCCAGTCGTCCACTTCCATTTTGGCCTCGCACCTGCATCAGCAGAGCTGGTCTCCCACTGTCTAGCGGGTTTAGTCTACCTCTATCATGTGATCACTGGCTGCTGGCCCCTGGCTGGGTCCTGGCGTGCTCTATCATCCCCTGGATGTCCTTGGGGATTCCTGTGGTTACTTAGGTCTGCTGGCCACTTCTCAAGAGGCTGGTTCTTTTTTGGTGCCATCCTGTCTTAAACTCAGGGCCAGCGTACTGTCTCTTAGCTTTTTCTCTCAAGGCCAGTGCTCTACCAGTTTAGCCACAGCTCCACTTTTCAGCTCTTTGGTGGTTAATTGGTGTTAAGAATCTCATGGGGGGCTGGGAAGGTGGCTCAGTGGTAGAGCGCTTGCCTTGCATGCCTGAGGCCCTGGGTTCAATTCCTCAGCACCACATAAGCAAAAGGAAAAAAGCCGGAAGTGGCGCTGTGACTCAAGTGGTAGAGTGCTAGCCTTGAGCTGAAGAGCTGAGGGACAGCACCCAGGCCCAGAGTTCAGGCCTCATGACTGGACCAAAAAAAAAAAAAAGAATCTCATGGACTTTTTCTGCCCTAGCCGGCTTTGAATTATAATCCTCTTTATTTCAGCCTCCTGAGAATCACAAGCCTGAGTCACTGGCACCTGCCTTAGGAGGCTGGTTCTTTCCAGTACCAAAAAAGTATTCAGATGTACTAATCAAGTACAAGTGAGCAGGCAACGTGGCTGTGTGTGGAGCTGAGGCGCACAAGCGTCAACATCAACACTTTACCCATCTGAAACCTAGCAACACTACTGACACTTCAGCCCTAACTCCAGAGTCTACCTGTCCCGTCCCTCCTGGACTCTGCAGGATCCACCCATCCCCTCTGTCCTGGCCTCCACTGCTGTGCGCACCCCCTGCTGGGCTCCAGGTCACAGCTTGCCCTGGGCAGTTGCCCTGCTGCTCCTCTGGAGATCACCTTGTAGGCTCTGAGGCCCAAGTGCAATCCCCTTTCCCTTCTCCCCAACCTCACTCTGCTTCAGCCTCCAGATTTACCCTGTTAAAGAGGGGAGGGCCCAGAGCCACTTTCAGAACATTTTGCACTTACTTGCTTTCTTGAATTCACGGCTCTCGAGAGGCCTAATTCAGCCACACAGTACCCTTCTGAGCTCAGCCAGAACCTTCCCTGCAGCCGAGCCTGTTTATGCCGATCTCTCGTCCCTGCCAGCTTCAGGACGGAACTGCAGTTTGGGCTCATTGTCAGACTACTGGGTTGACACACAGCAGGGCAAGGCATTGGCACCTATTTTGTCCCAAATGTTTGGTTTGTGTTCATTCACGCTTGTAGCTGAGGCTTCGAGACCCCTCAGATGACAAAAGAATGGCTTTGAGCCTTGGGTGTGCCTGGATCTGGGGGGAGGGCTTGCATACAGCCTTCCTCTGGCTTCTCAGAGGGTGCTGTCAGCTTGGCTCTGAGGAGAATGGAGACTTGTCAATATCTGACACCAGCCAGCTTCACCCAGCCACATGAGGTACCAGGAAGAATGAGCTTTACGGGATGGAAAAGACAGCCTGGGCTGGGTGCTGGTGGCTCACACCTGTAGTCCGATAGAGGATTGAGATCTGAGAATTGAGGTTCAAAGCCAGCCCAGGCAGGAAAGCCCATGAGGCTATCGCCAAAATGCTGGAAGTAGATTTGTGGCTCCTCTGGTAGAGTACCAGCCTTGAGGCCCTGAGTTCAAGTTCCAGGAGCAGCGCATGCATTCTCTCTCTCTCTCCCCTTTTTCCCTTCCCTCTCTCTCTCGCCCTCCCTCCCTCTCATGGGGCTGGGCAGGTTGCAGCCCAGAACCTGGGAGAATATGGCCCTCCTGGCTCTGGCAGGCCCGGCCTGTGCTGAGGTGTGGTGTGCAACCAGTGTGTTTCAGGGGACAGCAGCATGGCCACACTGCACAGCACGGTGGACGAGCTGGTGCGCTTCCGGCTGAAGGTCAGGCAGTTTGCGCTGGCCACACCTGAGGCCACTGGGGAGGCCCGGCAGCAGCGGCTACAGGAGAGACGCCCCCTGCTGGATGCATGCGACTCTCTGCGCCAGAACCTGGCTGCCCATGGCATCAACATTAAGGTGAGGGCTGTGCTGCCACCATCTGGGGGCTGGTGTACCGCAAGGCGGGTGAGGCAGATCTCACCGGCCAGGTGCTGCTGCTTTCCATGGAGAAACCATCCTAACAACACACCCAACTGGTAGGGTGTGCTAGGACCAGAAGGGCCTCCTTCCCCTACTCCCCTTCTACTCCCCAGCACCCAGCTGTGCTCCAGACCGCCCTGCTCCTCTGCCTGTGGATGAGGAGATGGGATCCAGCAGGATCTTTGCTTCCTTTCTGCAGGACAGGGGCAGTGCAGCCACCACATGGGAATTGCTGGACCCCAGGATCAAACACCAGAAACCAGGGAGCTGAGCCAAGCCCCACCCTCTCACTCTATAGCTTTTTCTTGAGATGAAAACTTTATATTAAAGTTTCCACTTGTGGCTATTCAGCCATCCTTACAGCGAACCAGTCCTGACTCATTGCTATCTTGGGCCTGAAAATGAACCTGGGGGTACTAGCAGCCAGACTTCATACACCCTGGGGTAGGCACCATGGGGTCTGAAGCCAAGGGAGATGGAACTTGGCACAGCAGTGGCCCTACTATGCCAAGTGTGGTGACTGCCCTGCCTGCTTTCATGGCCCAGGCTGCCGCCCTGGCAGCATGCTGGTTCAGACCCAGCCAGCACAAGGTGATGAAGGAATGGGGAGCCACGATGGCCTCCTGGCTCCCCCGGCTGGCAGACCCAGGCAGCCAGCTTTTTCTGTCCCTTCCCCACCCGCCTGCATCTCTGGAGGGTGGTGCCTGTAGCCTGGATTACTGCTGCCTGCCAACCTTCATGGCCCAGAGGCACCTGCGTGCTGCCGGACAGGGAAGGGCCTGGGCTCAAGAACTGTCCACCTGTTGGACTGTGACTGTGAAGGCTCCCCAAGGACACCTTTGAGATAGCTGAACAGAGCATGCAGTGCAAGGCAGGAGACGTCCTGTGGGGCCTATTCACCAGACCTAAGTGTGCCTCCAGGCTTGACCTGGGTGCAGGAACATGCCCAGGCTGCAGCTCCTCGGTATCCATGAGCTCAAAGAGATTAGTGTGAAGGCTAAGTTACAGTAAACAGAGCCAAACTGCCGGGGCTCATGCTACCTCTCTAAGGGAAGGAGTTTGATGCTTGTCAGAACAAAACTGCCAAAACACTGCACTGACAACAGGCACTGTGGTTTTGGCTCCAACACCTGACATCTTCACTTAGGAAAACCACAAATTCTCTGAGTATCTTCTCAAAACATTTGTTTTTTACAGTGTTGGTGACAGAAACCAAGAGCCTTTACACATACCAAACTGACCATCATCAGTCTCCAATTGCCAATCTTTATTATTGCTCAGATGGGGTTGACATAGCCCAGGCTGCCCTTAAACTGCAATCCTAGTCCTTCAGTGTCCCAGTGCTGAGGGTACAGCCATGTCTGGTCCTCTCGCCTTGTCAGTCCCAGGCTTTACACGTAACCCTCCAGAGCAAAGACATTCAAGGCACCGTTCCAGAAGATGGTGCACATGCGGAACCAAGCTTCTAAATTAGACGTGAAGTAACAGCAAATCTGTATGAAAACCTGACAAGCTGACTGGTTTTAAAGACACGCTAGCTATATGGAGCAGCACTGAGTGTCAGAGACCAGAAAGTCCTTGTCAGCTACTCTGTCTCTACCACGGAACAAAGCTGAGAGGAGGCCACCATGTTCACTGGAATTCAGAGCTGCCCATCTCAAGTGGGCTGCGCCTTTCTGGAGACAACAGTCTGGCCCTTTCCCCATCCAGGCTCGTCTCCCACATACCTGCCGCTTCTTCCCTGGATGGCACCAGGGGCTGCATCAGAAGCACAGCTCCCCACACATACTCCCCAGGTCCTAGCTGTAGGGTGGACATCTGCTCATAGGCCTCCGGCTCAGATGGGGACTGTCCTGCACTCCCTACCACCCCGAGTGTCAGCAGTACCCTAGTCTCCAGTCTTCTAGACAGCTCCAGATTTCCAGGTGTGCCTCTCTCCCATGAATTCTAAATGAACCCCTACCAACACCCACTCACTTCATAAATCAAACAAAGCCCCCGGGCAGCCTTGGGTAAGCAGACATTTGAATAGAGATCTCTGGGAGCCAAATGTGGTCATGAGGACAGATAGAAGCTGTGCTGTTGGGTTTCCTTCTCACAGATCCTCTCCGCCCTCCTTGCTAGCTACTGCTGAGAAGTTAAGCAAATGAGGGAGACTGCCTAGATTTATAACATCTCCAAATATATTTCAGTTTAGGCAACAACAGCTGTCAGATTTCCCAATCTCGGTATCAGTCAGTGAAGCCAGGGTTCAGGCCCTCATGGGGAGCCTGTGCCCGGGCCTGTGTCCCAGTACGCGGTCACAAATGTAACCTGACCTTAGGTCTCAAAGAGCTTGCTGAAGGCGGCTCCCACCTCGGAGATCATGTCGGTGGTGGTGGTGGACCGGCCATGCTTCTGGAAGGCCTGGTGATTGCACTGCCTTGTGAGAGTGCATGCCCCCCAGGCGGCCACCAGGAGCGGGCTGGAGCTGGAGGGGAGAGGCAAGTCAGGGAGAGGGGAGTAGGCCCCCCAAACTGGCTGTGAGTCTGCCATGCCTCTGAGGAGAAGGCAACTGTACCAGCCCAAACCAGTACGAGCGATCAGATCTCAAGTCCCTGTGCACGCCTTCCGCTCCAGGAGAGCCTGGCTCAGTGTAGTCTGCCTAGCATACACGAGGACCTGGTTCTTTCCAGCTCGCATGTGGGTGTAGGTGTACGTACACACATACACATGCGCAAGATAGCAGGTTCCCAGTGAGTACTAGGGAAGCTTCAAGGCTGCTCCACAGCTCTCTTGGACGTGCCATGCTGCTGTGAGGACGCTGTTCACATGCCTGTTGTGCCCACAGCACCAGGCGGGGCAGGTAGGAGCTGACCTGAGCCCCAGCCTGCAGATCCACACAAGCACCCAGGCTGGCCCGTGTGGACATTACCATCTGAGCCATGTTGCACCAAGTGGCAGGTGAGGCCCAGAAGCGCATCCTACACAATGCGTGGCCAAGAAGCTGGACTGGCCAGCAGACACCTGTCTAGGAGGTATAGGCCATGAGTTCAAGCCTGAGAGATATGGGGACTGCCTGTCATTTTAGAATTTTGCTGCCTCTTAATCCCAGCCTTGAAGAGTCTGGGACGAGGAAGGTGCATTTGAGGCCAGCATGGGCTACAAAGACCAGTCTCAAAGATTTTAAATAAAAATAAAAGCAACAAGACAAAATGAAATGGGAGAAAAGCAGATCTAGAAGGACTGCAGTGCAGGCCAGCTGCCCCAGCCTCTGTGCTGGGTCCTCAGCCTTACAGGCCTTCCTACCAGTGTCCTTCACCATGGCTGCCCCTAAGATCGGCCAGAGCTGGGAAGCCAATGGTGCCTGGTCACATCTGCAGAAACTGGCAGATGTGGAAGCTTCTGGAGGAAGGTTAAGCCTTGCCCAGTGTCCCTTGTAGCATGGCCAGCTCATCTGGCATGTTTCAGGACCCAGCAGTAGAGCTGCAGGGAGAGCAGCACAACTAAGTGGTTTCAGAGTGGGGAGACGAAGAGGTTTCCATACCCATTTGTCTTCTCGGGTCCGGCCAGGAGGGCCCAGTGCACCATGGGCCCCAGGGAGCCGGACAGGAGGTCGCCTTGGCCCCCGCACCTGCGGCTGCTGCCTTCCTGGCTGCATGCGAGCACTGCAGAGAACAGAGCACACATGAGCACGCTTCCCGGCTCACAGGAGGCCTTCAGGCTGGGGTTGGGGTGGGGGTGGCCGGGGAGAGGAGCTCTGGGGGGAGCAGCCAAGTCAGGACACAGGCTGTTCATCAGCTCCAGTCCAGAGCCCCAGCCTGCCTGCAGTCCCCACACCTCCACGCGTGCCTGGAACACTACCCCTGACATCACGCTGCACCGCACACAGACGCCTCCATTACTAGGTGGTGTAATTTTGCCCACAGTTGAGTTCAAGGTACAATGTTCTATCTGTTGTCTGGGTTAGTCTTGGACAGTCCCATGTTGTAAGAACCTCACCTCAGGAACCTGCTTCCTACCTAGGGCTGTGTGTGCAGAAGTGCACATGCCCGTGTGCCTTCCTGCTCTCCTCTGAATGTGAGGTTCCTAGTCACACACCTTGTCTACCATTCCCACACACACCATGCCACGCTGCTGTGTACAGAATGAGTCAACAGGACCCCACGCCCAGGCTGATTCCTGCAGCACTGGTGCTCTGAGCCCCATTGGAGAACCCACAGGCCCCAAAGACACAGCAGCTCACTTACACTTTAGCCAGTTTTACAAAATAGAACAAAATGTAGGAAAAGACTCAAGCGATTTGTGGATAGCCAGGTGTCAGGCAGGGGAGCTGTCCTGGGCTCCCCCAGCTGTGGCCATACCTGCTTCCTACCCATCATTTACGGAAGGTCACCAAAGCGGCATGCCCAAGGCACTGGCCCAGCAGCCAAGGATGGGAAGTGCTGTCTCCTGCCATGGCACCATGTGCTGAACAAGGACTGCTGAGAAGCTATCCATGTGTGAACACGTGAGAGTTCCACCTGGAGTGTGTAGACCACCACACAGGGAAGTCCACTCACCCTGCTGGCCGTTGGATATCAGGTCCTGCTCGCCTTTCTGAACCACAGTCACGTTGCCCAGAGCCTGGCTGAGCCGCAGGACAGACCCACGGTGATCTCGGTCATCCACAGGACCCCCGATCTACAATGGATGATGACAAACAAGAACAAGCAAGCCCTCCTAGACACACAGTAAGATCCCACGCAGCAGGAACGGCCCTGCGAGCCCAGGCTATCTGTAAAGCAGGTCTAGCCGACAACAGAGCTCGCTCTCCCATCAGACTAGGCTTGCACAAGTAGCAGCAACCTGAATAATGATAAGCTGGCACTCATGGGACCCCTGCTACATGAGTCCCCATGGCTTCATGGATGGCTTCACACTGAGCAGAGGCAGTGGCCAGCACAGGACAGGGAGATGCCTGGCTAGAGTGTCCTGCATAGGGCTGCTGGGCCCAGGAGCTTTTCTGTCCTATGCCCATGCAATCTCAGGCACATGCGCATCCATCTGTGACCTGCAGGGCTGAGGCCAAGCACGTGCGTCATCTTCCCTGAGTCACCCTAACTTACCACAGCTTCCCAGAGTCGACTGAACTCCATTTTGTTGGGCGTGAGAATGGCTTTCTGGTAGCCCTGGATGAGAGCTGGCTGCTGTGCGATCAGCCACAGGCCGTCCTGGGGGAGTAGGGGAGACTCAGTGGACGGCCCAGCCCCTACGCTTGCTGTGGGGATGGAGGAGAGGCTGCACTCACTGCGTCGATGACAAGGGGGATGTCCCTGGCCTTGGAGGCCTCCACAATGCCCTGCCAGGAAGGAGAGCACCAACCATCAGAGACCCGCAGCAGCTCCACACACAGCACTCCACATATCCACCTCCAGAAGCCAGGCACACACTCACCTCCAATAGCAGAGGCCAGAAGTGTCCTCTCGAGTCCAGTCACTATTGTGAAGGTTTCATAGCACTTTATTTACACATCTTAAAACGAGGTACCACAATAATAATAAAAAGTTGGTGGACCATTTTTCTCTAAAAGGATTGTGCTTTTTACAGATTCTTAGGTCAATTTCGGTCTCTGACATCTCTGTCTCTTCTAGATTTTCTAATAGAGCACACAGAGCAGCCATCCAAGGCAGACACTCAAGCACTGGACACATGAGCCCTGGCACAGCCTAATTGTTAGACTCCTAGAAAATGCGAGAACTGAGCCCTGTGAGGGTGTCCTGCCACAGGGAGAGCGAAGGTGCCAGCCTGGAACAGCAGCTTGAGGGGAGGGGCACATGAATCCTGATTCCACTGTAGAGTGTCTGGAGACTTATCCACAGAAAATGCCCAAGAGTGTGTGTGCATGTGCGCGCACACACACACAACTATTCAAGACAACACAAAGAGGAAAACTACTGAAAATATAAAAAACGTGATATTAATCCCAATATTCAGGAGACTGAGGCAGGAAGATCAAAGCAAAGGCCAGCCTGGGTTACGTGCAGGCATCTACTCAAAATAACAACAACAACAAAATCAACTCACAAAAACACTAAAAGACAAAATATCAGAGCAAATACACAGGATATGATAAATTAGGTTCTGCCATTAAAAATTGAAAATCAGGGAAGTTGAGCATCCCACCAGGGAAGTCTCTAGAAGCCATAGAGCAAGCTACATAAGAGCACCAATGGTGTGAGACTGGGACACGGGGCACTGACGACATGGGGCCGGGCACTGGTACAAGGACAGGATATCACATCACAAGGTCAGAAAATCACACATGGAAGGCGTAATATTAAGGCAGCACCCCGTCGACATTCATTTACAGAGTCAACATCATCACTACCCAAACCTCAGCTGCCTCTCTGCAAGGCTACAGGCGATCCCAAGACTCATAGAAAAGCGTGGGTCTTGGCGGAGGTGAGTCCCAAAATAACCCCTGCACTTAGGGTCAACTGATGGTCAAGCAGGTACCAGGCCAGCCAGAAGGAAGCCTTTTGGGAATGCTGAAGTGTGAACTTACACCCAGTTAAAAGCACTGGGAGCCCTGGCTTCCACGTTCCAATCACCCAACCACCCAGGCACTTGGAGTGTTCGCATGGCTGAGCTAGTTATTCTGGAGCCTGATTCTAAGCTCAGTCCACTCTGTTCAATCGCTGGCCTCCACAGCCTCGCTTATCCACCTGCAAGGCTCTGAAGAGGCCCTGGGAAAAACTGAACAAAGAGTGTGAGAGCCAAGCGTGTCTACCAGGAGGTGCACTCATAATGACTTGACTCACCCTGACGTTACTGAGCAGCTGGTCATCTCTGCCGAGGCCAGGCCCCACGATGAGGACGTGCAGCCTGGGAAGCCACTTCTGCACCTCCTCAACTGCACTCAGACTGTCCCTGAGGAGGAACAGGGAACTAAAATTAATCACAATGTGCGCTTACCTCTCTCTTTTGGAGTACTGGAACCAGGCATGGAACCAGGGTCTGGTACCAGCTGGGCAAGTGCTCGCCCTGTGAGCTAGATGCCAGTCCTAAACCACTTGATTTTGAAACTGTAATTTAGCTTTACAGAAGATGTGTAAGTAGGGCGGGTAGCCCTGGCATCAACCCCCTACCCACCCCCACTCCAGATTATACCAGTAAGAAGTAAGCACTGGCTCCACTTGCGTAACCCACATATCCCATCACCCCACCCCTGTGTCCTGTCTCTGCTCCTCAATCTTGCAGACCCCATGCTGTGTTCCATCTTCATCCCTCCTCCTGCCCACAGCCTGGCTTAGGCTGAAACCCAAGCTTAGAGGCCTAGCTTCCTGCATTTAAAATAAGTGGTAGCCAGGTATGGAGGAGAGCTGGCAACCTGGCACCTGAGGCGAAGGCAACAGGATGGAGAGTTCCAGGTCAGCCCAGCCACTGAGATCTTGTCTCAAAAACGTAAACAGAACAAGTTAGAATATGTCATTAAGATCCGGTGCCAGTGGCTCATGCCTGCGATCCTAGCTACTCAAAAAGCTGAGATCTGAGGATTGCAGTTCGAAGCCAGCCCGGGCAGGAAAATCCATGAGACTCTTCTTACTTTTCTTATAGAAAGCTGGACAGGGTGCTGCAGCTCAAGTGGTAGAATACTAGCCTTGAGCAAAAAGTGGCTCAGGGACAGCACCCAGGCCCTGAGTTCAAGCCCCAGGACTGGCAAAAACAAAACAAATCAAAGAATACATCACTGAGACTAATTTCAGAATTATCTGCTCCTCTATCACTGGCCACTGTGGCATCTGTGTGGATACACAGGAGCGTCTGGGAGCATCTCACACACCCACAGACTGGCCCGGAGACGTCCCAAGCCCCGCCCTAGAGCTGCTGTCACCCCACGGACAGGGCCTGCCATCACTAGTCCACACCTTCCTGCACTGGGTTCAGCTGTGAGAGCGGAGCCCACTGTCCCCACAGGGGCTCACACTGGCACTCGCCCCTCATTCCTAGCCCTCCCAAGCTGACCCTCAAGAGACCTGTCCTGGCCCCACGAGAACCATCTGGATGTATCTATGGCCTGACTGTTGATGTGCTCTTGCTGTGTTCCACTCTCACCCCTCTTCTCCGAACCAAGCCCCCTCTGCAAATGCTGCTCCTTCACCTCGTCCTCACCTCCTGGTATACACCTGGCCCCATGTGAACCAGTCAGCACAAAGCTGTCCCCGCTCACCCCACTGCTGCCCGTGCCTTCTAGTCACGTCCACTAGGATGTCCTGCAGGTAACCAAAACACATAGGTCCAACGTCTGCCACATGTCCCCCAGGTGAACACACAGCCAGCTCAGGCTAACACACTCTTGGTCTCATCTGAGGCTCATGCCTTGGTTCTAGCCTGCTAGCCAGGCCTGGGGGCTGTACTCTCCCCAAACCCCCAAAGAGTCAGTCCCTTCTCCCCTCTGAGTGTATATACTTCTTACTTGTGGCAGGACCTTACAGCAGCCACCACCCAGCCCCAGGGCTCCCAATGAAGCCCAGGAGCCCCTTGTCATAAACTGGGTCCTGCCCTCCCGCTGAGCTGCTCAGACAACCCTGAGCCCCAGGACTCTGGTGCTACAGATACTGGTACAGCCTCCACTGGGGCTGTGTGACAGGGCCTTCTCCCCAGGGCCTGTGGGCGCCACGGGAACGTCAGGTGCAGCCGCCGAGTCCCTGCTCCAGGCCTTTGCTCACCTGTGATGTGTCAGTGTCAGAGTAGCCTTCCCAGTGCAGTGAGACTTCCCAGTTCAATGGGCCCTGCATGTCAGCATGGTTAAAGGAAGGACTCTGCTTTTGCACACTGCAGCCATCAATGGCACAGAGCCAGGCAACAGAGAGCATTTTACGTTGTCAAAGCAGCACAGATTATACTTGTTCAGGAGGACCCACATCAGGCGCTGACTGCGAGAGGCTTCACTGCCCCCCAATCCTCTTTCCACCACAGCAGTCCTGCCCACACAGGCTCAGACTTCCCCTAGATCCCCAGCCACTTCTGCTAGACAAGGACGCTATGCCCGCAGCTATGGCATCAGCCACCACAGGTGCCCCAGGACTCGCCTTTCATTGTTAACAGAGGTCTTAAGTTGTTCAGGCTGGCTTTGACTTGCAGTCCTCCACCCCCACCTCTCCCTCTCAAGTAGCTGGAACTATAAGGTGCACACTACCAGGCCGTTTCATTACAGTAGTCTTACTCCAGGTAGCACCGGCTACAAACTCTGAGCACAGGGGCTCTCCACTCTCCGCCTGTGGGCAGAAGCACTGAGGGCCAGCCTTGGACAGCTGCTGGTGGAGGAAGGACACACAGGCCCACTCACAGGACTGGGTGAACGATCAGCTCTGGGCTGTAGGACTTGATCACAGGCGCGGCCTCCCTGGCACAGAACACATGGGACAAGTCTGCACCCTGAGGAACAAGGCAAGATGTCCACTTAGAGCAGGGTGTGCTGAGCAGGACCTATGGGCAGCAGGGGCGAGCTGAGCATCTGACAGATGAGGTCCAACCATTCCAGTCTCTCCGCACTCATGCCACAGGAACAACACAAACCAGTCATACCATAGCCAGGAGGCCTTGGAAAAAGTGGCATAAGAAAATGCTGGGGCCAGGCACCAGTGGCTCTCGCCTATAATGCTAGCTACTCAGGAGGCTGAGATCTGAGGATAACGGTTCGAAGCCAGCCCGGGCAGAAAAGTCCCTGTGAGACTTTTACCTTCAATTTACCACTCAAAAACTGCAAGTAGCTCTGTGGTTCAAGTGGTTGAGTGTTAGCCTTGAACACAAAGTGGCTCAGGAACAGCGCCCAGGCCTTGAGTTCAAGCCCCACAACCAACCAAAAAACAAACAAACAAAAATGCTGGAGACAAAGGCAGACTTCTACAATGCCCTCACGTGCAAGTTCAGAGCCACCCAGCCCAGCCCCTGCCCGCTAGACAGGGGCACTGGAACTGGATCAAGTCTGTAGGAAAAACACCAGTTCCAAAGCACTAGTTGGCAGATGTGAGGTATCCTAGCATTACTCTGGTGAAGAATAATATGAACAAAACATTTATTTTTTTTTAAAGGGAGACTGTAATTCATGTTACTTTATTGCCAGAATAGATATACAGGTGTTTCTATCACCCATGATTATCCTATTATTCAGATTTCTATCAGAACATACTTGAAGAATCCACTTTTTTTTTTTTTTTTGCTTGTCATGGGGCTTGTACTCAGGGCCTGAGCTTCTTTTTTTCATTTTTTTGTATTTTTTTTATTGTAAAAATACTGTACAGAGAGGTTACAGTTACATGAGCAAAGTAATGAGTACATTTCCTATCGTGCATTACTGCCTCCTCCTTTGTTTTCCCCCTACCATCCCTTCCCTCCCACCTCCTCAACTACTCCCCCTGCCCCCCCTCTAAGCTTCTTTTGGCTCAAGGTTAGTGCTATACCATTTGAGCCATAGCACCACTTCAAGATTTTTTCTGTTTATGTGGTAACTGTGGAATTGAACCTGGGGCTTCATGCATGCTACACAAGTGCTCTACCACTGAGCCATATTCCCAGCCCTGGATAACCCACTCTTTAGCAGAAACACTCCACCAAGGGGTTTGGGGCAAACTTACCACCTTGAGAGCTGAGATTGCTGCAAAATATGGGGCTCCCGTGTACCTAAAAAGATAGTAGAGTCAGAACTTCTGAGCAAGGCAGGCAGTCAACAACAAGCTATCAATAAAAGGCAGATAAAAATACCACGCGAACAGGTAAGAATCATAGACAGACACGAGGTTACAGTATGGATGTTCAACACAGGAGAACTAGAAAAGCCTCTTTCTCCCCCCTGCTGCTGTTTTCCATGGTTGGCATGGGTGCCCATGCCTCCACACCAGGCAGGACAAAGCAGCGCTGGCAGGAGAGGCTTCTGCCAGAGAGCAAGTCCAGGTAGTCGGGGGATCAGGGATCTAGAGCAGAAGAAAGCATTCTCCAGGACTAATGGCAAAGTCATCACAGCCACTGAGTGCCATGTCCCCCCCCCCACCAGGAGCGCCCCACCTGTGCACAGTGGGCCTCTGCAGCGCCCCTGGTGCCATTGCAGGAGTAGGAACACCAAGGGGCTGTGCTGGGCACCTCTTCTGGCACAGAAGGAGGACCCTTGCCTTTGCCATCAGGTGAGCACCCAAAAACTGAGCCCACCTGCAGCAGGAGACAAATGCCAAGCACACAGAACAAAGAGCCGCTCTGCGTACACATGTGACTCTGAAGTGTCCCAAGCAAAAGGGCTGACAGACCACATCCCTGCTTGCACCCTAGCACACACAAATGAGAGGCCTTTGCAGAATCACACCAAAAAACAGCTCGTGCCAACAGCCAGGCCCAGCTGCTTCCGTGCCCTGCAGGGTGGGAGCTGAGCTCCTACCACATGCATGTGGCTCGGAACACAGTACTCACAGGAACTGGGAAAGCCAACAACAAAACAGACAAATAAAACAAAAACTACACATTCATGCATGCATTGGTGAAATGCAGAATTTGAAAACTCAAACAAGATGACATGAATTAGAAGTGAAAGCAAGCTGAATGCCCGTCAGATTTTCAGATACAACGATGAGAACAAGTCATCTGGAGCTCCATAGAGCTGCTACTCCATCAGATGGCTCATCTCTAAGACAGGCCACATGCTCTGCCGCATCCATTCGGAAATGATTGAAGATGCACAGATGGACAGACAGCAGGCAGGCAAATGCAGATAGGTAAGAAATGGCCTTTTTAAAAACATCAACATTTTAAAGTGACACTCACTCTTGACAGCCCCCAACCACGCCTATTTGCCCATCTTGCCCTTTGTGTTTCTTCAAAGTTGGGGCTGGTACAATATTTCTCACCAACTGGAAGAAATTCTCCATATCCTCTACTGACTGTGCCTTATGTAGTGAAAATGTTCTTCTCAAAACTGAAAAACAGAAAAATGAAGTTACTCAGAATGGTGAAGCCCCACTCACATTATACTACAGGGACTTAAAATACCCCACTTAAAATACTTCCAAAGCTGACTTAAAAGGAATGTCAGAGTTTTCCCCAACAGAAAAAGTTACAACACTAACACTAGTAATATACTCTGTGTATCTAGTTTATCTGTTCTAGACTAGTTGGTCTTCAAAATGGACTTTGTAATCTTCAGAAAGCTTTATCTTAATAAAACAGTGGCTAATCACTTATTAAACTCTTCCTTCATTTCAATTTCCCTCTATTAGGTCTTGTCCCTCTTCAAAACTGGAAAGCAAGCCTCCATTTGGAGGTTCTATTATTAATATTCAAAGTTGACAGTTTCACTGTATTATTTCCAATAGTACTTTCAACACTCAACTGGATACTAATTAAATTACCCAAAAATGGCATTCTAAATATAGCACTTCTTTTTTTTTTTTTTTTGGG